ACAGCGCACCCTGCTGGAGACAGGTGGCAGATCTCCAGATCCCAACAATGGCACTTTTATTTATTTTTAGTTTATAAACTTTTAGCTCATTAACTAGGCTGATTAACTGTTTTGCTTTACTTTTCAATTCGTTTTTTCTATTAGGTTTTTTTAAAACCTTTTTTCCTTAATTTGGTAATTTAATTTGACTTAATTTACAGTAGGTAATATATAATTGAAGGGCTCAACTAATTCGTCAAATGCCAAAATAAGATGTGCAGTGACTGGATATAGATCTAGTGCTTCTAGATCTCACTGAGCAATCAAGTGATTAAAAACACTAACTTGCCCTATAAAGGGTTAAATGCTACTGTTCTAGTGTCCTATCTGAACTATATCACTAACACCTCACCTCCATGTTAGTCTTATCCTCCTCCTTAAAAATCTGATCTGCCCATTTACTGTAGCAAACAATTCGTCTTAAAATTTTTCAGCGTTTTTTTTTAACGCAATGATTTCTCGACATATTTAAATCATTCCAATTATTCCAAGTAGCTTTGAACAACTTAAGTTTTTTAAAAATAAAAAAACTAAAACCAAAGGAGTTTAAATCTAACTGTAGATTTACACAGTGTAAAGCATGTTGAGCAGAAACCGAAAACCAGTTCCTTTTGCCTGCCAGGTGTATTGCATCCGCCAGGTAAATTTCAAGACATGCAAAAACAGACAAAACTAGTGACATTTTTATCTGTTAAATAATACTTTCATTGTTAGTGAAAATTTTATTTTCCAGGATGTACCCCGTCTGACTGCCCGAGATAGGCATCGTGAAGTTTTTATATATATGTATATATATATATATATGTGTATATATATATGCATCATGCATTTTATCCCTGGAAGCTGATTCCACTTGGCTATGTACAGTAGTGTTGATACTTTTGATAATTACATTCAATTTATAAAATGTATTATTTAAAAAATAATGCGCAGGACAAGAAACTATAATTATTATAATTTTGACAAAGATTTGCTCTCCTTGATTTAACCTTTCCAAATGAATGGAAAGGTTTAATCAGCGATATCTCAACTGCACACTCAAAAAATAATGCAACCGCTTTTGGCATTTACTTAATCATATTTAGTTACTTTAACAAAGTTGTTTTACTTTAACAAAGTTGTTTTATGGTAGTAGGGTAGGACATAAAACAATTTTGTAAAAGTAACTAAATATGATTAAGTAAATGCCAAAGGTGGTTGGATTATTTTTTTCAGTGAGTTTTGAAATAATTTTTTTCTGGCTGTGTTTACATCCATTTTTATTAGTTAATAGCTTTAACAAGTTAATGAAGGAATCAAAATTATAACATAGGCATAAACATATTTATTTAAATGAAGAAGTCGAAAAAGATAGAAAATAAAATTACTTTTGACATTCTTGGCTAGTAGGTTTATGTGTGTGGGATTAGTGGAAATGCAAATATGGCCACTAAATGGTGTCATTTAAAACTAAAGGAGTTTAAATCTAACTGTAGATTTACACAGTGGAGAGCAGCTCAGTGTTTTAAAAGATGATATGAATTAGCCTTTTGGTAATGTAGAAAACAGATGGAGGGATGTGTAATCATGTTATAAAGCTGTATATGCTCAAAAACAAGACGCCTCACATGGAGTTTAATTTGTGATGAGTAAAAATGGCAGTTGTTTTTTAATGAGTCATGAGTTTCAAAGAGACCTGCCAAACATAACTGTTCAAGAATTGTGACAATAAATCTAATTTCAGTTTACTGGATTTCATATGATTGATAAATAAATAAATAATGCTGTGCTGGATGGCTCCTGGATAGCACAAGGGAAGGGAGTTCATTTTAAACTTTTTAAATTATAAAAATAACCAAAAAGTATGCGTCCACGTGTTGTTTCATTTAAAATATATTTGTTAAAGTTTAATAAACCTCTTACATAATGTTCAGATTTCTGCCACCTTTAGCTCAAATTTTATGAACAATTTACGTGTCATTTTGATGTACCTTCAATAAAATAAAAGCTAAGAATCAAAACTTGAGAAACTGGCACTGATGTTCAGCTTTAAGATATTTGTGACCTACATCATTTATATATTTTTACCCTCACATTGTTCTTAAACTGAAGAATTAAAATAATGTGGTTTATTCCAATAAGTACAACAATTTAAAAATGATTATTTTACTCTATGTTAGCATGCTATGTTAGCATGGTTGTCGTTGCCCTAAGCAAAATCTGTAAAACGGTTCTTTCTATTTTGTATTTCTCAAATTAAGCAAATGAGATCCAGGATATCGGGTATTGATCTTTGGAAGTGCTTCTGGGCATATTTTCAGGGCTTGAAAGGAGCCATGCCCTATGTTTGTGCTAAGCTAATTGCCTCCTGGCTCCAACATGACATATGAGATTGGAGTCAATATAACGGAATTGATCCTGTTATCTCTTGCTCAGCAAGGCAGGCAAATAAATCCTTAAATTTTGATTTTAAACAGCCGTGACACTAAGCTGTTTCCTCCCGTCTGTTTCCCAACAGATGCAGCTACTTGACAAGTTCCCAATCGAGGGAGGGCAAAAAGATCCGAAGAAGAGGATCATCCCATTTCTCCCAGGTAATAGCCTGCTTCTGCAGCTCCAGCGATCTGAACTGTCTCCCATATTAAAAATGCATGACTGGCACTCCTGGGACGTCACACTGAGCTGCTTATAATGATTGCTGCTGATGAGACAGTATCTCTGACTCTCCCTCCCTCTCAGCTGTGTTTTGCATGCACATATGTCCATCACATGTTCATTTTAGATGTTTTTACACGTGCGCAAATCTATGACTCAGATTGTTTCTGTGCAAGAATTTTGATAGTGTGTATCTGTGTGCTGGTATTGATTTGAGCCTTGTCACATAGACAACTGCTTATCTAGCTGACATTCAGGCTTGTGAGTCCCCCACGGTGCAGAAGCAGCAGTGATTTATGCCACTTTATATGGAAGATCCTGCTGCAGATCTCTGCAGATTCATTTACGCCTAGAGAATAACAGGCTTGTTTCTATTTACAGCCGTTTATTTTTGTAAATGCATAAGCATTTAAGCCCTGTGGCCACCGCAAAGTCTCAGCGTCAACGCCAGTCGCTCCCTATCTCCCATCTAACCTCCAGCTATCTTCCTCCTCCTACAAACAAACACAAGCTCTGTGTTTTCTGTAAAGCCACCGTCCTAAGATGCACACAGCACCAGTCGTCTGTGAACTTGTAATTCAGGTCAAACTCCTCTGCCCTTGCTGTGCGACACCTAATGGGCTCCCTAATTGGAAACGATTGAAAGAGCCCATTAGGTTACAGCCCTGAAATATCTCACTTTAACAACCTTTCTATAGGAAGAATAATCTCTGTCGCAGCAGTGCTGGCATTCAGAATTTTCTTGGTGTCAATTCAAAGATGAAAAAGAGAAAATCTAGGATAGAAAATGAACAATCCACATAATTCGTTTTAGAAGTTATTGTATTAAAATATTTCAATTTGAACATGAATCATGGTGCATATTAACACAGCCTCATTCCATCTTTGGGTCTACGGATTCAATTCACTTCAATTTATTTATAAACCAATTAACAACGCATGTCATATCAAGGCAATTTATAGAGAAAAATCAACCAGATCAGACAGTCAGATTGGTTAAAAGTTTCTATCTAAGGAAGAGCATCTGATTACATCCAGTCATTGACTTTGCAGGTGAGCATGCATCAACAGTAGATATTCTGTTGCATTGTGTCGTTGATTCAGCAGCAATCCCTCACAGTGAGCATGCATGCCGCCACAGTGGAGAGAAAAAACTCCCTTTTAACTGAAAGAATCCTCCAGCAGAATCAGGCTCAGTGTGAGCTGCCTTCTGCTGAGGCCAACTAGGGTTCAAGGAGACAGAAACAGACATAAAAAAAGGAACATAAAAGCACAGATATATGAATACTTTCTATGTTACAATAGGTAGCAGTAAACTAGCTACATAAGTGTCTCTGTCTTGGAAAGAAACATTTTACCAGACAAGATCTGAGTCAGTATTAATGTTAAAGAGGATAAAAGAGCACATCGAGCTAGTCACAGTAAAAGCTAAGCCCACTATGTCTATTTGAGAAACAGGACTAAACCCTGAAAAATAGGCTCAACTCTATCATCTATAATTGAAAGTATTAAATGGCCACAGCCCAGCTGATATTTTTCTCCTGGGTGCTGCCAGGTCAGGTGAAGCTATTATGAAGAATAAAGGAAGAGAGAACTTGGATGTCATACATTTATGTTCAGATAACAAGGATAAATACCACATCTGGGTTCATATGATGATTTCCTTTATAAATATAAGAAGCAGCTTGGCCCTAGTTCACCATGCAATGGTTTGAATTTAACAAACGCCATTATTAGCTGAGTTCTTTCTAACTTGCAGGGTTGAAAATTCCTGTCTAAAAACATGCAGTAGGTTAAAAGTCTCACAAACAAAAACTTACTCAACTATCTAAAGAAATCCAAGAACTGATAGAAATCAAAGTCATCGATACTGTATCTATTAGGCTGGGAAAAGAAGTAAAAAAAAAAGTAGGCTACCAAAAACCATTTCCATGGCTTTGTGTTACTATACAATTGTTAACTCTTGCACTACCAAAACTATCTACAATTAGAGTCCATCTCATCTGGAAGATCTCAAAAGAAGTCAGATCACCAACTAGTGCCCTGCAGGTCTCACTGCCTCATCTAGATTCAACAATAAGAAAAGAGAAACTGGGAAAAAAGGCCTCTATGAGGGAGTTCCCAAGGCCAAAACCTTTACCGACCCAAAACAACACAAATGCTCTCTTCAAAAACAAGACATGATGATTTCCAAGTCTTCATGGAAAATATCTGTGTGCTGATGAGACACCTGGTGTAAAACTATCATCAGCATCATGGGTTGGTGTTTATCTCCAACCGTCTAAATATGATAATTTTTAAGTTCCTTTACAGTTTTTTTTTTTTAGAAAGAAATGCATCATGCTACTGTTAAACATGGTGGTGGTGGTGTGATGGTCTGGGGCGTGTTTGACACTTCAGAACATTGTGGACTAAACACACATAATGGGGAAAGGTAAATTCTGCCCTTTTTTCCAGAATCCATCCATTGTGGATGTCCTGCCATCTGTTTGGGACCTTAACTCATTAGACACGCTTTGCTTTTTCATATTAACAGGAAGCAAAGCCAAAATGAAAGCTTTAAGGTGGCCTGGTCCAAGTTTAGAGCACAATCTGTCTGTGTGCTAAAGGGTGTGAAGCTTGGAGTTTATGAACGTAACTAACATCCTGTACAGACTGGGGTTTTGGAGATTTCTCTATTTGCCTCATTTGGTTTGTGCTGCTAAAAAGCCTGGAGCTGCTGTTTTATTTCATTGTGCTGAAGAAATGCAGCTATTTTTATCCAAAGTTTAAAAAAACCAACCAAACCTCAGCTGCAAGTTTCGTTTACATAGAGAACATCACTGCAATCTGGGCTGTTTTAATTGTGACCAGACAGATATAGAAGTGATTTTAAAAAAATTACCATTAATGTGAAAAACCTGCTTCTTGTCCCTACAAACCAAAGCACACAGGAATGCCATGATAAAGCCAGTAATCACCGTTCTGTTCAAATAAAACTTCACTACAAATGATTCATAGAAGAGCTTTTTGTATCTTATTTGTTTATTTGCAAATTACTGACATCTGCTGGCATCTCTGAAAATTACACCTAGCTGTGCTGGAAAATGAGCCTAAATTCAGTGTCAGTTCATGTTTCAGTTGTTTTCTTTCATTTGTCTCCTTGTTGTTCTTTCCTCTGTTTTATCCCTAAACACCATCCAACTTTTCCCTGAGTTATCAATTCAATTCAATCCAATTCAGTTTATTTATATAGCGCCAATTCACAACACATGTCATCTCAAGGCAATTTACAGTTCACCAGATCATCCAGTCAAATTGATTCAAAGTTTTCTATCTAAGGAAAACCAGTTCATTGCATCGACTCGTTGATTTTTCAGCAATCCCTCACACTATGCATGCTTGTAGCGACAGTGGAGAGGAAAAACTCCCTTTTAACAGGAAGAAACCTCCAGCAGAACCAGGCTCAGTGTGAGCGGCCATCTGCTGAGGCCAACTGGGGATCAAGGAGACAGAAGCAGAGATACAAAAAGCAGCTGTAAAAGGCGGCTCCGTCCAGGAAACACACAGCCAGGCAGACGGACTCCGAGCCAACTCCCATGTCAGAGGATGAAGAGAGCACATCCAGCCAATCACGGTCAGAGAAACAGGACTACACTGAAAAACAGGCTGATCTCCAACATCTATAAAAAAAGGTGTTGATGGCAGCAGCACAGCTGATGTTTCTCTCCAGGATGGAGTCACAGCCAAACAGAAACAGACCAGATGAAGCTACTATGAGAAAAAGCAGAGAGAGCAGAACATTGGAGATTGAACTAAAAGATTCTGCATAGGAGAATAGAGATAGAATGATAAAATAGAGGTCCCTTTGTCCTCCAGCAGTTTAAGCCTATAGCAGCGTAACTATAGAGATAGCTCAGGATAACCTGAGCCACTCTAACTATAAGCTTTATCAAAAAGGAAAGTTTGAAGCCTAGCCTTAAAAGTAGACAGGGTGTCTGCCTCACGGACTAAAACTGGTAGTTGGTTCCACAGGAGAGGAGCCTGATAACTAAAAGATCTGCCTCCCATTCTACTTTTAAATTCTAGGAACCTATCCTTCACCTTTCCCCGTGTTTTGACTCTTTGTTTTTGTCGTTTTTCCTTTCACCTCTTCAGGCAAAATCCTGTTCCGGAGGAGTCATGTGCGAGACGTGGCCATGAAGCGGCTGCGTTTCATCGATGACTACTGCAGGGTAAAGAGGCCTCGTCGTAAACATCCCTGTTGTTGTTCTGAAACATTCCTGATCCTTTCAGGAGTCCAGGCATTCCATTACCAGTGGCATGAAAAAGGCATTAATAACTGATCTGGACTGGAAATGAGGCATGCTTTAACAATTAGTAGCATGTAGAAATCGTAAAGTTGAATTTTTTTTTCGTATGCAGTGTGCATCAATCAATTTTTAGTTACAGCAGCCATACCAGAGAAAGTTCTTTCAAAGAACAATATCTTTGTTTGGTGGAAAATCCAGACTGAATGCAGGGACTGGAAAGCTGGTGGGAGCTGAATGGAGGATGGATGGAGCTAAATACAGTAGGGTGGTGGAAGAAAACCTGTCGGAGGCTGCAGGAGACCCTCCAGTAGGATGACAGCCCTAAACAGAAAGTCAGATCTACAATGGAGGGCCTTAAAAAAATGAGTTTATCCAGTCTGACTGAGCTTAAAAATAAGCAAAATGTTTTTAGAAAGCTGGTAGAAACACTGGAAAAACGATCTAGAAATGAGTATAAGAGGTCTTAAATTAAGTGTATTTACCCTTAATTGTATTAGGTAAATGAGATAGTTTGCCAATGGCATGAGTCTTTGTACTCTTAAACTAAGAGTAACTAATTAGATAATATGCACTTCATGAAGACAATGCAGTTGTTTTTTTTTTCCTATTTTAAGTGTAAATTTTCTTGTTCCATTGGCAAAATGTCTCCTTTACTTCCTAAATCCAAGAACAAATGCACTTATTTTAAGAAAAAATGACTTATTTAGATTTCCACTTTTTCCAGTGCACAAAATGCGGAATGCTGCAGAAAGATTTAAATGAGTTTATGAATAATCCATACCATGATTCATATTGATGTAGTTGTATGTACAAAAGGTTTAAAGGTATTAAATAGTTTAGCAAGGCAGAGTAAAACCCAGACTGGATCTGGTGGTTCTGCTGAAGCAGCAGGGCTGACTGAACGGGTTGATTAGCAGAGATTTTTCAAACTGATTTGAACTCCTCCGCTAAAACCCATCCCCGTGGGCAGCAGTGGGCTGCCATTGTGCGGCACCCGGGGAGCAGTGGGGTGGGGTTAAGGGTCTTGCTCAGGGACCTAGCAGGTTGTGGGGATTCAAACTGGTACTTGCAACCTTGTCAGAGCACAAGCACACTGCTCTAACCCACTAGGCCAACACCCCCATTTTCCTTTTTTTTTTTTCTTTTTTGTAAAAGGAAATTTGAAAAGACTGCAATCCTGAAATAAAACTGAAAAATTG